AAATTAGTTAATGCATAGCATTACATTTGCTAAATATTTATTCATCTTTGTTATAACAAAAGTTAATAAAAACACAATTGTTAATTGCTAGTTCATGTCTATTAAAAGATTAATAGATGCAACTTTTGATTTTAATAATGTTGATGTAGATGTAAATTAACTACGATTAATAAATGCATCAAACGTGTAAGTTAACAAATGTAACCTTACCAGATTTTTTTATATATATTTTTTAATGCCTTGCATACAAGACATACATTGCTTTTTAGGATTATGATTCTATTTATTGACAAAATGTAATTATTATTGTTATAATTATTCTTTTTAAACTGCACAATTTGTGTCCAAAAAGCCTCGACTCTTTACGACAGTTAAGACACCAAACTCGGCTTAGAATGAACAATGCAACATTCACATGGCCTGACTGGATGTTTTGCATTAGCACGCTTTTTAAACTGTAATTTTCATTTTTGAAGTACACCTATATTGTAGACAGACCTGTCTGTACTGCACAACTTGCGTCATGAGTGACCTAAATATGAGTATTTTATATCCATCTCCTATGCTAATGTTCCACAACACTTTATGGTTGTCATTTTCTTAAGCCTACATATGACTATGTAATTACATGAGTAACTGCTGAGTAATAACATAAATTGTTCTCACTTTCTCTGTAATTTAGCAACATGATGCTGTAAGTAGGCCAAGACCAAGATGTTGTTACCTACTGCACCTTATTTCCTGGCTTGCAGGGCGTGTTGTATGGATGGTCTTGGATGAACTAGCATTTATGAATTTCATAACATTGTGATGAACTTGACAGCAGCATCTGTGGAGAAATATGATAAATTGTTAGCTTGCTTATTAGCCAGTTAGCTTTAGCTTAACACAATAACAGATTAAGTCTAATCCTTTAAAGTCAACCTGATCCTGTGTGATATGACTATAATCATCATGGACAGAGATTATATACAGCCCCCCTGTGGTATTTCACACATCTCGACCAGGTAAAATGCACTAATTTCAGTATTAGATATAAAATACAATGGCATCTGGCAACAGCTGATGCTTTATCAGAACTAACTTGACTTTTCTGAGCAGAAATGAATTTTAATGAACTAATTTTTAGTGGATACATGTCTGTTTGCCCAGGTGTAGTTCATCTTCTACTAATGTTTGACAGCCAGAAGTGAGAAAATACTTTAATTTTGAAATACTTTAATTTAAAATTTTAAATACATGAACTCAAAAGAAATGCTCTATCACTTCTCATATGGTCCATTATATGCCACTATATAAATAACCAAGGATTATATAATGGTCTTCTTGCACATAATATCCTGATGATTTCAAAATATCAAGACGTTTTTCCAATATTTTTTAAAGGTCCCGAGATTTTGAATATGCTACTTACCCAGAATGTCCAAGAATCAAAACTAAAAACAAACTAAAATTGGATGAATCATTTATTCAAAGTGATATGTAATTTAAAAGAACATAACAGAGAT